TGGCATTTTAAAACAAACATTGTCTTTCTACTATTGCACTTTCTACTAAAGCACTTTGTCCCTGTTTAGCAATTGGTAATTTATGTGGATTCAGTGAGAAAAGGTATCAGTGCTTTTTAACTAGCCCTGCGCATCAAACCTCCTCCTCATCTTTTATGTTCACAAACATATCCACACATGTACACACAGTTCTAATTAAACTGCAAACATTCCAGCATTCTTTTTTACTATTTTATTTAAAAACAGAAGAGATTATAAGTAGGAGGTTCAATTGGAACAGCTGTTGTGAAGCTCTCATGCATTTTCCCAATGGCAGATGCTTCTTAAATAACACTATGGTTGCAAGATGTACCTACAGCCTCTCTCCACCCCTACTGAATGCAAACTGGGCAGTAGACCTGTTGCTTCCCAGGAAAAACCAAGCACAGGGCCTCCACTTGCTTTCTGAGCCACATCATAGTCCAGTTCAGAAATGAAGGGTTTACATTCTGTCGCCTTCGGCATTTATAACTACATGTATCCTCCTGATATGCAGCTGACTGAGATAAAAGATGGGGAGTCTGGGCATTCTTGGTTTGATGCCCGGACTCAACTGTGAATAAACATTGGAGATCAAGCTACAATCTGAATGAGAATTGAGATTCAAGGAGGCCAGACTCTTGCATGCAACTGTTCAGACCTCCTAACGCAAAATGACTGGCCAGATGGAAAGGTGATAGGCACACTAATCTCATCTAGGAAGGCAAATCAGCTGCTCACATAAGGTTTGGATTACCCAGAATCACAGAATCGTTTAGGTTGGAAGGGACCTCTGGAGATCATCTAGTCCAACCCCCCCTGTTCAAGCAGGGTCCTCTAGAGCATATTTCCCAGGATCACATCCAGGCGGGTTTTGAATATCTCCAGCAAAGGAGACTGTCTCCACTACCTCTCTGGGCAACCTGTACCAGTGCTCCATCACCTTCACAGTCAAGAAGTTTCTCCTCAGGTTCAGATGGAACTTCCTGTGCTTCAGTTTGCGCCCGCTGCCTCCTGTCCTGTCGCTGGGCACCACGGAGAAGAGGCTGGCCCCATCCTCTCGACACCCTCTCCTTCAGATACTGGTACACAGGGATGAAATCGCCTCTCAATCTTCTCTTCCCCAGGCTGAACAGGCCCAGCTCTCGCAGCCTTTCCTCAGAGGAGACATGCTCCAGTCCCCTCATCCTCTTTGTAGCCCTCCAACCGACTCTCTCCAGTAGCGCCATGTCTCTCTTGGACTGGGGAGCCCAGAATTGCACACAGTACTCCAGATGTGGCCTCCCCAGGGCTGAGGAGAGGGGCAGGATCACCTCCCTCCACCTGCTGGCAACGCTCCGCCTAACGCGGCCCAGGAGACCCTTGGCCTTCTTGGCCACAAGGGCACACTGCTGCCTCATGCTCAACCTTGTTGTCCACCAGCACTCCCGGGTGTCCTCCTCTGCAGAGCTGCTTTCCAGCAGGTCAGCCCCCAGCCTGTACTGGTGCATGGGGTTATTCCACCCTAGGTGCAGGACCCTGCACTTGCCTTTGTTGAATTTCAGGAGGTTCCTCTCCGCACACCTCTCCAGCCTGTTCAGGTCCCTCTGAATGGCAGCACAGTCTTCTGGTGTGTCAGCCACTCCCCCCAGTTTAGTATCCTCAGCAAACTTGCTGAGGGTGCACTCTGTCCCTTCCTCCAGGTCACTGATGAATGCATTGAACAAGACTGGACCCAGGACTGACCCCTGGGGGACACCCACCGCTAGCTACAGGCCTCCAACTAGACCCTGCGCCACTGACCACAACCCTCTGAGCTCGGCCATCCAGCCAGTCCTCAATCTACCTCACCATCCACTCGTCCAACCCACACTTCCTGAGCTTACCTAGGAGGATGTGATGGGAGACAGTGCCCAAAGCCTGGCTGAAGTCCAGGGAGACAATATCCACTGCTCTCCCCTCGTCCACCCAGCCAGTCATTCCATCCTAGAAGGCTATCAGATTGGTCAAGCATGATTTCCCTTTGGTGAATCCATGCTGACTACTCCTGATCACCTTCTTGTCCTCCACATGCTTAGTGATGGCCTCCAGGATGAGCTCCTCCATCCTGGTGATGACCTCCAGGATTGTTCTCAGTATGTTTATCCTGCACAATGGAATACAACCTAAAAGCTAGCTACGGAACTAGTCGGTAAAACCTGTGCCCTTGTATCATGTGGCTGGATCAGCTGATATCCAGACGCATCCTATCTGTATTCATAGTGCACTGCCACAGATTAAGCACGCAGAGCTTAAGAGCACCACACAAAGGCAGCTCCCAGATCCAGACAGACTTGCATGCAGCCAGTTTGGGTGTTTCTGCCCCACATCCCTTAGTGTTTTCACTTCTAGTTTTAATGCAGGCAGAGTGAGCTTCGCTGGAGTGCAAACACTCTCTCAGCTACCAGATCGACAAACATTGGCAAAGAGCAGTTCAGGTGACTGCCTCTAATGAGCAGGCAACTTTCTGGAACTGCTGAGGGCTTAGATACTCCCCAAGAGAAAAGGGGGTCCCTAAATATCACTGCTCAGGAACAGAGGGAACATGGGACCAGCAAATCCTTCAGATTCACTGAAGAAATTTGAATTATGGTATCTCTTAGCTCAACATAACATGGTGGTGTAATCAGCAGGTTGAACCACAAAGAGTAAATCAGTAAGGGCTAGAGCATTTCAAAAGACAATCAAGCATGAAGCTGGTGTTGCTTCAGTATGATCAGGCAGCACATGGCATATGGAAAGCCACTCATTATCTGTGTGATGACAAAGCAGAAGATTTTCCTACCTGCTTTAAGGCAATGCTATTAGAAGAAAACTTCCTGCACTTGTGAATCCTCTGTGAAATTAGAGCTACTTGGAAGGACAGATGGACTGTCCTGTCCCTTAGATCCTATGATCTGGCTTACATTGGAGACCTTAGTCCTGGTGTGGCTACTACTGATGTAGCTACTACCATACTAAGCAAGGTGCTCTAGGCGGTAGCTTTTCAACGGAGCTGTAAGACTTACGTTCTCTCTGTGGTGGGTGCCTATTGTATAGCTCCACTGAGGTTGCTACAGCTTTATAGATGTCTTAACAGAGCTCACCTTTAATAGGATGAGAGCTGAAGGCAGCTCTCTGCATCTTCTTAATCTACAACTGGAGCTGGCAGGCACTGCAGTATATGACAGAGCCTCAGGGAACAAACTGTCTGGTAGGTGCTTTCAGCATGACTGTCCTGCTAAGACAGATCAGAAAAGTAGGCAGAACTGATTCCCTGCCCACCTCCTCTTCAATCCGCTCCCTGAGAGGATGGTGACTCGTGCAATACTTCTAAAGGTTTGGGGAATTTTCTTCGGTGCACTGCATACTCCTCCTTTCAAAATCACTACAGTGAGAGGGCCATGTGGGAAGTCCTCATGCATTCCACTCCTGTTTGCTTCAAGCACAGGTTTACACATGGAGGAACTAAGTATGTGCACTGAGGTGTTCCCTGTAAATTACCATCTGTACCACCACTGCTGAGAGCACTGGAGTATGTGCAGCAGAATGTAAGTCAACAAATGGATTATATATCTGTGCAATGCTCTTGCGCGTATGTGTAATCCATATGTGATTATTACTACTTTTTTCCTTCACAAAAATCGTGTCTATGTAAAGAGACATATAAAAATTTGTTCTAGAACTGGCAACCATAAGGCAGAAGAAATAATAATAAGGAGGTGCAGTATTAAAAAAAAGTCTGCAAGACTACAGTCTTCGAAGGATGGTTGACAAAGACTGCTTGTTGCCTGCTATAACAGGGTGTGTGGTAGGAATAAGAGAAGGCCGGAAAGTTTCAACAGCTTCTCATCCAAGGACTAGAGAGCTAGCTAATATGGATCTGAGGATAAATTAGTGCAATAACCACACTGGCAATCTCTTCCCAAAGTAAATGCCAGTGCTAGGCCACACAGTCTGCATTGCTGTGGAAGATGGTGCTGATCCTACCTTCTAATTAGAGAGATGACATAAAGTCAAATGTTCCTGAGTAGGATGTCTGCCAAGTTGTAAAGTCTCTGTGCAGAATCAGGGTAGGGGAAGACTACATTAGTGACTGAAAAAGATGAGGAGAGACACAGCAAACATGCAGCAGAAGAAATTCATAGGCTCAAATACTGTCATGGGCAAGAAGAATTCAGAGTATGAGTACCAATGAGAAGACAGCTCAGGCACTGGTTCTGCGTGACTCAGGAACAGGAGAATCACACCCACAAGAAGCTTATATTTCCTAGATGGGTTACTCAAAGTACTCTGTCTCACAAAGATTCAGGGTCGTGAGCTGATGGAGGAACTTTTTGTCAGTTTGATATTTTACCGTTCCCTGAGTTGGTACCAGTCTTTAGTAAACAGATTTAACACTGGAATATCTAATATGTTTGGCAGATTCCCAATAGGAAGGTTACATTTACCAGTTTTAATGGCTGTGTGCTGTCTCTGGGGCTTTCAGGTCATTTGATCCCAAAGGTCAGCCATGATTATGACCACTGTGAGCTGTTTTGTCTCATAAATTTTTAAAAGCCAGTAGGAATATTATTTTCACAAGACCCCCCTCGTCCCTCCAAAAAAGTTTTGCTCATCAGTTAGTAAACCAAACTACGCAGGCATGGGAGGAAATGGGGGGAATATCATTTAGCTACTACAGTGAAAACATGAGAGGGAGGTAAAGTGTAAATCTACTCTGATGAGTGGCCAGGTGAGGATGGCTCTCAAAGAGTCTGACTTAAGCTGAAGAGGAGACATCATTTACACCAGTCACCCTTTAAATGGATCACAATCTGGACTTACTCAAAACCTGGACTGGGGAGAAATACTTGCACATTGATATTCCAAAACAAGAAGACACTGTGTTTGTACATAAGTTTTAAGCAGTGATTGTTACAGAACACAGATCTCTCCACTGCTTACAGCCAGTGACAAGACAATGCTCCAGTCAAAGCCTGTGGTGGTGGTGGGGTTTTGCCACATTAGTTTATTTCAATGATACTCCCTTTTCCTCTGGATCAAAGAAATAGGAAATTTTCTTTTGGTAGCAGTGCCTGTGTAATATTACCTCCCCTCATGACATCCTTAAGAAAACTGTAAAAACCTCACAGTTTCTGCATTTGCCTGCTAAAGAACATCTGGATCAAAAACCTGCCTACAGAGCTTCATTTTGCTCTGACCAAGCTATGGCTGAAGAGGTAGCAGCTGTACCATGAGAGCCTGTTAGTAGCTACAGAAAAATACAATATATCTGATCAGGGATGTATTGAGGCAGCCTACATTCCTGGGACCATAAACCCCTTCCATCCTGTGTTAAGTTCAAGTACATGGATGAGTACATGGGACAGTGCAGAAGTCTCCTCCTCCAGTTATCCTGCCAGTGGAGGTGCTGACTGAAGGCTACTAAAGCCTCATATGTCCCTCTTACTGATGGCCTTTTGCTCCAGCAGATTAGCTGTGGCTTGCCTTGATCTAGTCACGCTGGAATACACAGGCAGCCCTCCAGAGAAGGGCTGAGCAATGCAGACATAACACACATACTCCTCGGTTTCCTTGGAGAGAGAGAGAGAGACAGAGAGAGAGAGACAGAGAGAGAGAGACAGAGAGAGAGAGAGAGCGCGCGAGCGCACTCTGGGGCAGAGGAAGAGGGGGCAGGATTCAGCATGGCTTTTCACCTGCCAATTAATGCAGTCACTTCAGGGGTGCAAAGTGGCAACAGGATGTAGAGATACAACATCACTGCTTAAGCCAGGGCAAGAGGAGCAAACAGAGCAGGGGAAAGTGTACTTCCAAGTTACAACTGTATGTAAATGTCTACACAGCAATAACATACACAGTGGAACAGTACACAAGTGCATAGGAGCACCCTCCCCAAGACAGAGAATAGAAGACACCCCTGAAGGAGGAAGAGACATCAAAATGAATATACAAGTAGAACGGGACACAGAAAAGCCAAGCACTGTTGTACTGCGGAGGTAGTATCTGAAGCAAGAAAATTCTCCTGAGAGAAATGTGTCTACATCTTCAGGGTAAGAAGTGGCTTCAAATGCTTCATCTGAGTAAACTTCAAAAGCTTCAGAAGGTGCAAAAGATGAGGCACCACACTGAAAGGCTCTTATCTGGGCCCTGAGAAATAGAGGGATGTGGTGACCCCATAAGGGAGTGCAGCACGCACTTCCCTGAGCTGGTCAACCCACATAACATGCAAGGTTGCTGCAGGCCTCTTGTACACACACCAGCTGGGGCTGGATTCACCAAAGCTGTGTTTGCCTTACATCACGACTAAGCAAAGAAGCCCTGAACCTTGGTAGGGCACAGAGCTCTTCAGCTGCCACCTACACCTGAGCTGTCTAGGGTTTGAGGCTGCACTCTCTGCATTTCCAGTTCTGGTGCTAGCTTAAGGCTCAGCTTTCCTCAAATCACTATTTGCTTTTGAAAATGTAGACAAGACCCTCTGTCTCTCATGTAGGCTCAGATGCACAGCATTCTGTGTTTCTGGGCCTCCAGTCCCTGTGGTTTCTATGCTCAGCACCTTGCTCTGCTCCTGCAACGGGGGTGAATCCAAGCCCAACCAGAGGCAAAAGAATAAATATCCTAGGAGCCCAGATAACCCAGCTGTACTGTTTTCAGTGTGTGGCTCTAAGAGCTGATTCTCCTTGCTGGTTTTGATCAGCTGGCTTGAATACTGAAGCACAAAAGATCCAAAATACCCAGAGGCATAACATGCCTCAACACTATGGCTTTGAACCACCCCAAGGGCTGTTTTAATATGGTCCTGTGAATTTACATGGAAAGATATATAAATTACCAAGCCATTCAGGAACTACTTCCTCGATTACACTAAATGCTGGTTCCACGAGGCACTGATGGGCTTAATCTTTCGCTTTAAAAATGATCATTGTTCCCTGATGCCAACAGGCAGACAGGTTATAATCTAGGGTGGAATATCACTGCATGAACAGGAAACTGCCTGGAAACCAAATCAGTTCAAACACAGTGTAGGGGAAGGAGAAAATTGAACAAGAATGTTTAAAAATACTTGCCTTTAAAAATTGAGCCCCTCCCACATGTTACTAAAATCTAATTAAAGGAATCCAGCAGCTGTGCTGGCTCTAAGCATTAGGATTCAGTATTTTTTTCTGGCCAAGTCTTTCAAGCTTGGCTCCTTTGCTTTCTTTAGTCTTGCTTCTCTCCTTTGTGCTTCCAAGGGTAGATCAGGTCTCCAAAGAACAGCTTCTTGCAGAGGGATGTCCAGGAGTCCTTGGGGTAATAGCTGTAAGTTGGCAGCCTGTATGTCTGTATCACGGTGCCATATGATAGAGGGTTGATCTACGAGGAGAAGGAAGAGGGATAGTAGCAATGAAAATATGTTGTAGTAAGAAGCAAAGACAAATGAGGAGGGTAAGTACAATTTTTGCATAGCATTAGCCTCTGTTAGAACATCCCTGCAATACTGCTGCTCACAAAGTCCCTCTCTAGCTATTTAAAGATGTAAACAGCTTTCTATAACATCCTGAAACATTAACAAATTGCGCTTGGCAAGGAGTATTATTAGACTCATTTTCAAGGAGAGAAGGAGAGGCAAGCACCAGCAGGATTTGAGAGTGCTCCTTGTTATAAGAGGGTGCTGAACTGTCACCTTGTTGCTTTAGTAAGTCGTAATGGTTAGGGAGATGGGGGCCGCCTATTGCAAACAGCTGCATATTCCTCTGGGGATGCAGTATGATTCTGATGAACTCCTCTACAATGTGCCAGCTAAGCTGTCTTTTTCACTGGCCTACTCCTTTAACGTGCAGAGCTCTGAGCCCACAACTATCCTTTAAGTTTAACCTGACATCACTTATTCAAAATCTGCTGTGATCAAGTCCTTGCAGATCAGGATGCATACTACAGTTTACTATGCAGGGCTGCTCATTACCATCTTAAATTAAGTCTCCTTGGCTGGGTTCATTTTTTCAATTTGATTTCAATCACCGTCCCTTGAATGATCATATCTGGAGTTTCTGCCTACATACAGCCCGTGGCCTCTGGTAATGGTGACAAAGTTGCTGTATTGTTCTTTTGGTAGATGAGGGAGTCAGAAGACGTGTTAGCTGGACAAGTGGTAACGGAAGCACATTAAGCTTGTTAGTTCTCATTCCAGTGGAGCACTTCAGGGCAGAGAGATAGCTGAAGTCCAGGGGATACAGTCTGGCCAAATTTGGATGCATGAAAAGCACACACAGCACTAGACTGTCCCCAGAAGAGCGAAGAGATCACATAGAATTGGTGGGTCTCAGAAAATAACCTGAGAGATGCCAAGGTGAGAGGACTTAACAGAGCTAGAGAAAGCTTGGACAGTGGAAAGAAATGGAAGGTCATACTCCTCTAGCAAAAGGGTCCAGCTACGTTGGAACCAACCAGGCAGCTGCACAGAAAAATAAAGACCCCATAATTCACAGTAGAAAATCCAAGTACAAAAAGGAAAGAAAGGCAGCAAAAAACATACAGACAATCATTACTTTGTCAAAAGCAGACTATTTTGCCCCCTGAAGAGTTTTCTGAGAGTTTGCTTATACTACCAGTTTGCTTCAGCTATCTGGTGTTCATGGAGAAGGGAAGGATGACTGCAAGAGTGCTTAAAAAGATAAGAGCTTTGGGAAAGGGTCGAAGGCATTAGAAGTGGTCCTGAAGACCTTTGCCAAATTAGTTTCAAGGCACAACTTTGTTAAACAGAAGGAGAAAATGCTTGTGCCCAGCAGCATCCCTAAGAAGTTAAGGAAAAAGCCAGGGCAGCAGCTCACACAGGCTGAGGGAAGCCAAAGAACAACTAGATCCAGCATGGCCTGGCTGTGGGACAATGACTCACTGGCAGATATTAAGTGAGTCCCGGACAGATTTACAGGAAGCTAGTTTTGAATGTAATCAAAATGAACATTGGTATCAGAAAAGTAAGAGCTGAGCTCATACCACCTGAGGTACATCTAATCCAAACTAATGCAGCTCATGTTTCAAATGCAGTCTACAATCTAAAGGTCAAGAATTAACCACAGCATTTACTGGACATTATTTCTGAATACAACCAATCTAATCCCATTGTGGCCATAAACAGTTTGCCAACTACCCCCTGCTTCAAAAACCCCAGCAATAAAACTTGAGTAACTGTTTCTGCCTATTTCCTCAGCTCTGTGCAGAGCAGTATGTTTGTGGTGAAAACAAGTTTATTCAGAGGGGACAGGAACTGCAGCTATACAATGGAGATACACAGTGTATATTCCTTTGACTATTAACTATGTGGGTTGGATGATTTGGATGATATTTGGACACAATATTTCTGGTTGAAATCCATCCCCATGCAGAGTGATGGTGCTGAGGGGCAGTATTTGCCTACTTAGAAATAACAAGAGATGATTTTAAATCTAGCACAATATACATTTCTACCTCTTCTATAATAAAAGGAAAGAAACAAGCAAACACAAACCAACCGTTTTATTGGGGAAGTGGCAATATGAGTTCCTTTTATGCAATTTCTGTAGTTCAAAGCTATAATATACCCTGATATAATATACACATCCTTTGTTTCATAATGCAACTGTTCCCTTTTCCCTTCCTCTGTTGCTTAACCTTTTTCAAAGCAGTTGCTGTGAAAAGATGACATTTCTAGAAGAAGGTATGCAGATGAATCAAACTCAGTATGTCCTCCTGCTAGGTTACCAGTCATACTGACCCATACTGCCAGAAATATTTATTGTGTACCAAAATAAATGATTTTAAGCCCTTATGAAAATACTATGTAAGACTTCCTGGAAAAATTTAAGCAGCATTTGGAAAGGAAATATTATCCCCCCTCCTCCATCTGCCTGTGTCTGGACTTTGCACTGCAATGACAGTATCTAAATAATAATCACTTGGCTGAACCACAAGCTGAATACGGATTCTCAAAATCAGTACAACTGATTTCTAATCCATTACTAGTGCTCAAAAGGATAGATGTGAACATTTCAGTCACCTATTGCTTAAATTATTTTAGCCACAGTTATACTAAAATACAGCCTTGCTTTCCTCAGGTACAGATCCAAAGGGAGACAAATAGGGAGGGGACAAGAGGCAAAGCCATTGTGAAATTTTTAGAAAAAAGCTATCATCGTGTACCATGAAAAAGAATTCTAGGCTTTTTAGGTCTTCCTATGGAAAGACCTGTCAGAAAGCGGTATACTCAGCAGGAGTTCTGAAACAAGCCTGTATTTTCATTTCTCCCAGCAAGAGTGCCCTTACCAACTCTCTGCTCATTATTATTTGAGTAGAAGGCCAAAAGAGACATCTACTAAAGCACTTCCACCTCTTGAGCTCATGACTCATGCTATATTCTAGATAGCATAAGGACTTTTCTGCAATGGTCCAAGGAATACTGATCACATTAATATGATTCACTGCCTCATGATTCACTCCATCTAAATCCTGATCCTTTTCCTTTGGAGAAGCTACCCACCTTTTCTCACACACTAGTGCCAAACTCTCTGCTCCTCTTAACTGTTTCTGTACCTCACCATTGGTACCTACAGCTTCCTTTTTATCGAGTCTTCTGGGCATGGGGAATGACAGACTTTGGTCTTTACCCCACTACCCTACCTAAGCACAGGAAGAAGAAAGACAGCATGCTTAGACCATGCTATAGTTTTGCTCTAGAAGACACCTGATGATTAGATTCCTTCTGAAATTGCTGCTAGCTGATGTGCCAGTTCCATGCTTAACTAACCTCTGCTGAAATGGGGCTGGACTAGGGATAAAAAAAAGCAAGAGAGTTGGGAAACTGTATTTAATTCCTTCACAGACATTCTTCCAGTGTCCAAATATTCTTTATACAAATCTATATACTGACTCACAGGATGCAAAGAGCAAGAAAAGCAACTGTCTGATATGGCAAGACTGTTGCAAAGTCAGGAAATGGAATTTTTTCAATCACTCCTGAAAGGATAATGAGAACTTCACTGCTACTATCAGATCATTTCTTTTCAAAAAAATTTCCTTCTATTATCTCTGGCAACAGAGCATAGAAATGTAAAGTTACAAAAGCACATGCAACCTTTTGCTATATACCTTGCCAGTGCAACCTAGGAGAATATACAAGGAGGCCCTTCCTTCTCTTCTCTCACCCACACTCTCATCCTGACTGCATCATGAAATAGCTAAAGCTTTATAATACTTCTGGAAGGGAATTTTTTTTTTTAGCACATAACTATTTCATTAATGACATTTTAGTTTCCTTCTTTTGCTTCTCTCACTATTCTGCAATTATTAAGGCACAGCTCCATATAGCCAGGAAGTGAGGTGACAATGACATTAATTTTTAATTACAGAAGTAACAGAGCTTCATGTTTCTTATATCTATTCATATTTCTTTTCATGCCATATAGGATACTGCATTTTCTCTAAGCTGAGGAGTCAAGCAGAGCATTAAAAAGTGCAGAAAACAGCAGTCATTGCAATGTGAAGCATATTTCCCTTGTTTCAGCATTGCACGGCTGAAATTTTTTAAGTGGGGCCTTTATAAAAAGATATCAAGTCATGGGACCAGTTTCAGAACTGCTATTGAAGAGAAAAGAATCTTAGAGACAATCCAAGGGGAAGTCTCTAGTAGAAAATGTAAATGAAGACACAAAAGTGGCTTACCTGCATAAGGAGTCGAAGAGGTTTTCTATGCTTCTGTTCGAGAACTCTGAACTTTACACCAGCTGAAAATAAGCAGAATAGGGAAACCAAATTTACGCTGGAGAAAAACACCTGCTATTTACTTTTCAGGTCTGTTGGCTGAGCACCAATTTTCTAGAGATGAGGTTTTAAATCTTCTCGGATTTGTGAACCCCGAAAAAGTTTCAACCGGAAGCACAGATTCTCTCAGTAATGATTTTAAATTTAATGGCAAGAGGTGCATTTTTCTCAGCTTCATTAAAAGTAGCCCTCAACTTCCAGGTTGAAAATGCAGTCCTAGAGAAAGCACAAAACCTAGAAATCAAAAAGAAAGAACTGATCATGACAGAGGGGCTGCAATAATCTTTATCTGTTCCCAAACCTCAAACGGAACGGGAACTCCATGTTAATAAGAGACAGAGGACTCTCCTTTAATTTGTCCTAATGTGGATACAAGCACATGTGCAAATCTCTCGTCCTTTCAGACTATGAGAGGAAAGTGGCTGGCCCAGAGGCTTTAAAAATATTTCAAAGCAGTCACTGCCTATTAATCCTAGCATTTGTATGTTTTTAACACACTACCCACTCTATCAAACCTGTTACTTTTATATTCCCTCTTGGACTTGCTACATTCCCAGTACTTTAAAGATAAATAGAAAAGATATTAGATTCCAAGGGTGACATACTGCACATGAATGTTTAATGTAATGTTTCAAAGAAAGATTACAATTAGGACTAAAGAGCCTAAAGAACCTTTAAAAAAAAAAAGAAAGAAAAAATGATCTCAAACCACTTCACAGAAATAAAACCAATCCATCTTCAGCATATCTGTAACAATCAAGTGTGCTCTGTTATTCCTTTCTACGGGTGAGAAGATAAGGCAAGAGAAATGATCTGCCACAGATCAAACAATGACTCAGAAGTAGAAACAGTAATAAAACTGTTCATTTGTGTTCGCGCCACTGATATAGTATCTATGTGTCTTTTACACACTTAAAGGAGCAAAATATTTTCTCTTTTTTCTTAAGCTTTGAATTAATTCTAATTCTACAGTTTATTCTTTCTTCTGGGAGGGAACTCTCTTGTCAGGCAGAGTGCTCTAATTTAAACTATGTCTCCCAAAATCATAAGGCCTTTTCTGTGCAGGACAGGAAGGAATGATCTGCCTTTTGCTGGGTTATATTGAAACACGGCTTCCCCAATGGCTTCAAAAGATGTTGAAGTCTTCTGGGTCTTGACAAGCAAATGTGCTCAAAGGGAACAATTGCTCAGAGTGACTCTGAGTTTTGGCTAAGAGGAAATGTCTGAGTCATTCCAGGAACTTCTCTTTAGGAGAGCAAATCTGTCAGAGGTAGACACAGACAAGCGAACACTGGAGTTTCAGGTATATGGTCTAGTACTCTGGAGCCTTATTTGGGGAACAGTCTGTTAACCAGCAAGTACTGTTTCTGTAGGTCATGGCCATACACTCCCCTTCTACAGCAGCAAGCTAACAGTCTCTTAATTAGACTATTTAATTGTTCAAGAGTCTTAAATGTCTAAGAAAATATATGCACAGAATGTTTACAAATTAATTTATTTTGGAATGACCTATAGATTACTATAATGCTTAGAACCCTCGGAGCAATTCACTTCACAGAAAAAGCAAGAATGTTCAGTCTATTCCAGATCATTACAGGAGAGAAGAACCCTAAATTATCTTCTGTAATTACCAGCCAACTCTAGAGTCTAGGGTTTTGTATATTATGTACACAATTATCATCAATGGCACAAAAGAAGTCAGTACATGAACCCATTTGTTTTGTTTCACATGACAGTACTTTAAAGAAAGCTCATTGCTTACTTGTTTTCCACTAACCACAGAGGCACCAACACGACAGGACCTATGCATTGAGACTGACAGTCTCATGCATTGAGACTGACAAACCTTGTCCCAAAGTTTGTAAGGTGAAGAGGTAAGAGGGCAATTGGGCAAGAGGGCAAGTTTACAGAGAAATGAAGTGACTTGTCCAAGATCATACAGCACATCAGTAGCTTAGGTGAGCGCAGAATCCCAGACTCCTGAACCTCACTGGTAGGCCTTAGCACTTTAAATCAAAATCATAGTGTACCCATCCTGACCAAGGTGGCACCCGTTTAGCTAATGCTGGGTAGACAGAATTCTTGCATAGAGGACATCAGCTTTGACGCATTTTCAGAAGGCTTTTTAAAGTCCAAAGTCTTTCACTTCAGATGTGTGGAAAGGCAATATGTATTTCTGACATTTGGATGGATCATTACTCACCTATCCTGGCCCAGGCTTCATCAATAATAATTGTTTTGTCTATTCAGAAGCTGAGCCAAAGAACTTGGAGGCCAGGTGCCAGGACTGAACTGAGCTGAACTTTAAACACTGCACTCAAACCTTGCTGACAGGAAAAGCTATCCATCCATGTTCGCAGAACCATCCCGATGATGCTTGTAAAACCAGCTGCCATAACATATGCCAAAAGATATCTTATCCAAGTTCTGAAGCAGAAAAGGGAGGCAAAAACTAAGCAGTATGGACATCAGGTGAAGCGTACTCTCTAAAGTCCTTTGAATTTTTGATTCAACTGCTCCTTCTGTTGCCATACCAATAAAATGTTTTTATTTTGTGCCAGGAACATAGGCCAGAGAAATTTTCAAAGATGCCTCTTCATTTAGCAGGCATAGTATTGCTGTCTTCTCTTTTTAAATGTTCAAGACGATCAAACAAACAGTCAACAAAGAAAGTAAGTCAGGTAACAAACTCAACTCAGCAGACAACTCTCTGCCTACACTGAGGCTTTCTATCCTGCAGAGGGTGGCCAGCTGAGGAAAACTGAGGAGTAAGCCAAGACTGACTGGAATATATGGCCTTATATCTCTCAACGGCAACAAAATTTCCTTCTGCCCTTTGACTTGATGTTTACTGTGTCAGTTTTCTTCAGCAGTATTTCCTGTTCTCCAAAGATAGTCTTGAAGGGTTAAGAAGTTTCTGCCAGGAAATTCATAGGAGCCCGCTGAAGGCATACATGGAAAAGCAACAGACTGGGTAACACTGTTCAGCTCTACCTTCCCAGAACCAAGTTTGGCACTGCTCCAGTGCAGGCAAAGCTGTTATCAGTTGTCTTGGGCTTCCTTTGCATTTGATGACTGGCCTTGGTTTGGTAATGACCAAACTCTTTCTTACATTTAATGTTTCCTGCTGCATGCTCTTTAAATGGATGGGAGATGATGATTTAGATCTGCTCGATTTTAACTGGGTTAACCATAATTGTTTTCAGTTAAATCCATTTCAAAATGACCTTCTACTCTGCTCCTAATCAAGTTACTAAAAGTGGATAAAAAATGAGTAGTTTCAAAATGGTGATAGGTTAATCTCAAAAAGCGAATGGATTATATGAATACCCAGAGCTCTGAGATTAAACTGAACACCTCAGTTCAGGTCTATAATCAGTCAAGTCAGCACAGGACTGAAGGAGCTGCATTGCTTTATACCCACTGCAGATCCAGCCCTTTGAAAGTGCTGATCCTCCAAATATGTTTGTAAACTGCTTCACAGCCAAAAATCCCAAGCTTAACGGCTTGTTTAACTCTCAGAATTTTTACCAGACCTAGTACACTAGAACTGGAATAAAACCCTGAACTTATTAAAAAGGTGCCTGTTTGGGTGTCACTTTTAGTTACCACTGGCTTTATAAATGTGCTTCTGATTCTGTTTCAGCATCAAATTTCTTCCATTGACATCCTTATCCTGTTCTTTGGGGTGACCAGTTAACAGTATGGACAACTTCAGGACTGGAGTTCTGCACTTGGGACCTCAGTTCTTCTCTGGCCTCCTGCATCTTTCTATTCACAAGCCACCCCCGCATCAGTTCAAGGAAATGCATAATGCAAAATCTCTGAATTTCTGCCTGAGCAGTCCTGAAGAACTTACCTGCAAGCCTGTAGGATCTGCAGAGCCGAAGGATGATTGAATAAAGAGGCAGAGAGTCAATGAGGTCGACTAGCAAGTGTATCAGGCCTTGCACAACCACCACCAGCAAACGGAGCTATAGAGAAATATTTTAACAGGCAAGTCTCAGAGAAATAGTAGGACCAACATTTGCAACTTCACAAGTTGATCTGCAGTCTGACATTTTTGTGTGCTAAAGTAAAGCCTCCCAAAGTGGGTTTGATGTGTGGAAGTGCTGGGCATCCAGCCACTGCATGAGCTTCCTTGACAAACTTAGCCTAAGGTTGTAGCCATAATGAAGCACCTACTGTTTCAGAGGCTATGACCTCTAAAAACATGACAACTATTCTACTTTCATTGGTCACAGTCTAAAAAGGGGGAATTCAGGCTTCCATTTCTAGTAAATTCTATCACTGTACTGGTAAATATAAATTCCGCTCTCTCCAACAATGGAGCACCCTATTTCTGACTGAAGAAACCCCATGTAGAGCATTTAAGCAAGAGCAAAGGAGTGAGAAATAGGCTTCCTGCTTCGTGTTTTACATCCCCCGATTAGAGCACCTCCTTTTGTCAGAATGTATTTATTTTTGCTGTCAAACTCATCTGAAAAGAGATGGTTCAAAAGAGATGTTGAAATCATGTAGAGGCTACCGCCTGGGGAAAATTTTGCTTCAGGCCTCAAATCGGACTGGTCATACTGGAGGTAGAAAAGAAAAAAGTCCAAACCTCTTAGCAAAGCCTGTCCGAGAACATTTAACACAGTAGGTTAATTTTCAGAAAGAAAAGTTCTGGATCTGGCCATTATGCCAGATGTGGGAGGGAAAGATTAAAAATGACTTTTAAGTGAAAGACAGTGGAACAGCTTGTCCTGCTGACTTTGACTTGCTGGAAACTCCCTTTGGAGAAACACAAATATGTATCCTTAATTCCACTTACTTGGACTATGAAAGCTGTGTGACAACCCTTCTTGGGACACTCAGACAAATATTATATTTTCTTTGTGGATGACAGTAAATGACTAGGAAACCCTTTTTAAATATCTCAGAAGATCGTATGTGACTGGCTTTAAGGGTTAAATCTTACCAGGGTAAACACCAAATAATACAGTGCAGTTGTAGGCAGAAGGAACAGCAGGATTGTAAATAGCAAAGTGCCAATAAATAACTAAGGGGAAAAAAACAAACAATCATTAGCCGCGCAATGGCAAAATAAAACAAAATAGAAATAAAAGAATAGGAAACAGTGAGACAATGAGAGTTTGCAAGATTGTTAACAAACTGTTTTGGAAGGATAAATAATATAGATCCCGACAGCATTTTTTCCTTTATAGACAATACTCAAGATTTCCTATTTTAGGCTGGCTTCCTTAGGAAACAAGACTTAGGTGATCATGCTGTCTGTCCATTCTCTGCCCCCATAAGTTTTAAAACCATTGGCCAGTTTTTACCTGAAAAAGATGGAAGGGTAGAAAGAAGTAGAAATTTGGTAGGCAATTCTGCAGCAATTTGAAAAGTGTTTTTGTTCCTCCATGTTTTACCAGAACTGGCAGCTGGGGAAAGGCAAGAGACCCGATTAATGTCTCCTTTTAGGGAAAAGCTGACAGAAGTTGGTTAGTAAACATTCCCACTGGCAGCAGCCAGCTGGCTGGTCAGCATGTCTGCAGCTCCAGTGCAGGCCCAGAACTTCTGCCTCTTGCTCAGCGGGGCTGTCACAGGAAACAGGGCAAAAGGGAGAAAGAAGCTGGGGTTACTGGGGCAAAGAGGAGCAATATTTAGGGGATAAAGGAGAAAAATCCATAGGAAAGCAGGTATCACTAGTTCCTCTGCCCACAGAGCAAGTTATTTTTATTTCGGGCCAGTCCAATTGGCCGAAATCAAACTAATTCCAACTGGAATCAATGGAGAAATGCAGACTTGTGACAGATGAGGATCTGACTCTTCAATTTTCAGTCATAACTTCCAGAACAGAGAAGATATAAAAACACAAGGCACTGCCATTTCTTGAGAAAGAGAATATGGCCATGGTATCTTATGAAAGAAAACACCCAGACAGTCCTGTCCCAGAGGCAGATCGACATCCTAGCTTTAAGTGTATAACTAGAAATAGATTATAACCCAGCCCTGGCTCACTTCTCTTCGTAACAGTTGTCTCTCCCCTCCTCCATCACTCCACTGCCGTTGCTTAGCATCTCAGTAAGTCTTTTAAGGCCTATTTTGAATGTCTCTTCCCATCCAAGCCAATGACAAAACTCCCACTGGCTCCATAGCAGCAGGATGAAGCTTGAAGTGCCAAACTAATCATTGTCAAAGTACACAGGGACAGAGCACTGACGTAAATTACCTTCCTGACACAGAGACTCTTACTTTTCCATCACTACAGAAAAAGAAAAATAGCTCTTCCATTGTGATGTAAGAGGCTTAAGCCTGTATGCTGCAACTGAGGGAGAAGCTCTGGCCCTGGAAGTTACCAAACAGCACTGCAACAGAGATTGCAAAGAAGGCTGCAGAGAGATGAGCCAGCCTCTCCATATATTTATCATGATATCTACAATTCCCAGCAAAAAGCACCCAGAGCTGTAAAATGCTGACTTGTGGTAAAGAATAAAACAGATATTACTATCATTATGATTTTTTTTACTCAGAGACATCGTAGTCATGTTTGCAGGCAGAGAGCAGGCAGCACCTGCT